AACATGTTTTCAGACTGCCACAGTATTTAAAATAACACCTAGAACTTAGTGTCATGTTGCTTAAATCTTTTAGATAAGACTTGTCATCCACCATTTAAAATACATTTTGGGTAAATGCAAAATGGACCTAATACAGAGCCTTGTGGCATTCCATACTCAGTTTGTGTTAGATTTGACTGTTCCTTTTGTAAACAAAGTGGCAGGTGATCATACAAACATCTTAATTCTTGTCCAAATGTAATTCTCTTATCTGTCCAAGAGAATGACATGATCTTTGGTGTCAAGGGCAGCGCCAAAATCAAGTAGTACTAGACGAGAGATGAAAATAAAACACTTATTTAGTGATATCTGCCAGGTAGCATGAACATTTCACACTAATGGTTAATTTGGTGCTAATCTACCTCCTTCCAAACACAACCAGGACATCCCACTGCCATTTTGTTTGTATCCACATTTTCTGGATACTGGGATCTTCTTTGATCATTTTTGTTTGCATATTTTGTTCATAAAAGCCTCTTTGAAAAACACTACCATGAGTCACTTAACATTTACATTTATGTATTTGGCAGATGCTTTTATCCAAAGTGACTTGCATTGCATTTAAACTACATTTTTTTTTAGAAAAACCAGTGAGTCTCAAATCTCATCATCAGGATCTTTTGAGGAACATTTGTTTCCAGAAGCTTTACTTTCACTGGATCTTCCCAAGCCTCCAAAACATCTTACATCTTTTGAGGAGTGTTTATTTCTTCATCTCTCAATCATCATTTAATTGCATTGCATTATGTTTGAATCATTTCAATCTCATCTTACTAAGTCATATTATTGGAGATATAGTGTGACCACTGATATTTAGATCACTTTATGTCAGCATCTCCTGTATTGTTATAAAGATCTCATTGATTTACATTACAAGCATCAAAATTTCATCTTAACTTACTAAATTGCATATTTATGCTCAATTTGATTCTATAAATAAAACTAAGCTGTTTTTTCCTCCATATTCTCATTATATCAGACTATATGACCCATAAAAGCCTGATGGATCAAATGTGATACAAAAAAAAAAACATGAACATGGAATTTTTTTTAAATATTTTGTCTAAAGGTTCAATAAACTGTTCCATTTCAAATAATTAGATTATTTCATATGTCTTATGTTAATAATCACACCACATGCATTGTGTTTAGTGGTTGACTGAGCTCTGTGTTTCAGATTGGTAAAGCTGCTCCACCATCACCGTCTAAAGACAGAAAGAAGGATATGGGATCTCCTCTGAGGAACCCAGGCAGCCCGATGCGCAAGAACAGCCAAATCGACAGACGGTACTTACAGATCATTCACAACACTGATACAGTTACAACACAACATCTGACCAACAGGTGGTGCTGTTTTCACAGGTCGTCAGTGGAGAAGCGGTCCGGGCCGGCGGGGCCCGCGGTTGATGTGAACGGATACCAGATCAGGGTCTGAGAGATTCACGAGACAAAGACTGAAACGCAGCCACGAGAGGATGAAGATGTGTGTTCACTTGAAGAAGTATCGTGCTACACAGAGAATGTGTTCACTTATAAGGGTAGACACGAACACCTCCTCTAATCATTCATTTAGTAGAATAGCCACATTATGAACAATGCATCATATTTATATTCATTTTAATACTATGCCTCAGCTGTTCATTCTGCTGTGAGCAACTTTTCATATTTAATCTGTAAATACAGTGCAAGTAAACCTTTAACACTACTAGACACTGATGTAGAGGATAGCCTGTAGTCCATTTATTGGTGCCTTTGATCAGTTTTTGGACTGCAATGATTTTCTGGCTCAGTATTTTTGCCTTGTTTTCCAGTATAGTCTTAACATTTCTAAATCATTCAAGATACTTTTTCCTTAGAAGCAAAACAACTTGATTTTGAGTCTTGTTTTCTGAAAAAAAAAAAAAAAAAGCAAAGCAAAAGTATTTGCTCAAAACAAGAAAATTATCTGTCACTGGGGTCAAATGTTTAGTTTTCTTGTTTTGAGCCTCTAGTAAATGTATCTTGATTGAAGAATGTTTAGATAATTTTAATAGAAAACAGAACAAAAAAAGAAAGAAAATTGTCATGCTCTTAATCTAGCTTTCCCTTTGAATGCAGTTTATTTTTCTGAGCGTACTGGCAAGTATTTGTTTGAACTCACTTCATTTTGATGCATTTTTCAGAAAACAAGACTCAATTTCATTTAGTTTCTAGAGTACACCAAGGCTCGAAATTGGGACCATTTTGGTTGCATATGCTCCCATAATTTAATCTAATTTCTCTAAAAAACGTTCACAGTTATGTGCTTTCTGTGTGCTGATACGGTGACCTGTCTGCCGGTCTATCAAACGTTACATAACTTCATCTTTACATTCTTATCTTTAATGCAGATTTTAGATTGGTTCATATTAATTATTATATTACCTGACAGCGGAAAGCAGTGACTGGGTGATTAACATTAACAGCTAATATTAACCAATCTAAAATCTGCATTAAAGTTAAGAATGTAAAGATGAAATATGTTAATATATAATTTGTAGTTGGTGCTCATTAATTTTTGGTGGTGCTTCTAACTTTGCTACCAAGTAAAAAACTTAATTTCAAGCCCTGTACGTGCATCTTGATATATGAATGTTTAGATATTTGCACTGGAAAACGACAAAAATACAGAAGAAAATTATTATTATTATTTTTTTTTTTTTTTGCAGTGTTATAACATCTATAATAATACGAGCAGTTCGTCCTCCCTGACACACTTTTTGCACTTAGCGACACTTACAGTATTGAACTTTTCTTCTTTAGTCATCAGGTTTCACCAGTGATTCCAACCTGAACTACAATAGAGCAACTATTTGGCTTTGAAAGAGCAAAAGCACTCCCACTGGTGAATCTGTCTGGTGTTTCTGATGGCTTCAGTACTGATCATCATGTTATAATGGCCACTTTAATGGACATGCGTGTATGTAAATGATGTTGCAGAATATACAGGGTTCAGTAGTTATGAATGCAGCCCGCGCCCCTGTTGGTTTTTAGATTTTTTTAACTCTTAAAAGATAGGATGCTCAATTACACGCGTCCAAGTTTTTAAAGTCAACATGAAATTGACTTGAATTCATGTTCCTGCTCTTAAATAATTCATCAGTGCATAACATGCTACAGAAATAGCCTAAATGTTCGTCTTCATAATCTTTCATCAAAATAGGACTTGCTCCTCCTCTGAAGTCACTTTCTCATAATGATCAACCAACTATCATTCATTGATTTCTCTGTTGAATACCTCGTAATGTGTTGTGACTGTGAGCATCATTTCATGTTGACTTTAGGAGTAGCGTGATGTAGATGTGTAACAGTCTGTTTCATTAGCAGATGTTCTCCTACAGTAGACACACACACACTTACACACTAAAGCCAAACACACTTGTTGTGAGACACTATGAAGTGCACTAGTGTGATTCTGATGCGAGCAGAAGACACTGATGCTGGTGCTGTTAAATGTTCTTCATTAGAACAGCTTCCTGCCACATGATTAACTAACTGTGTGTGATTAACAGATGTTACTATTGTTGATTTTTCACTTTGACGTCACGGCACTGAATGTCTTTCAAACCCTCACTGGCTCTTTTGTGACACTTGAAACTGAAATGTACAATAAATTGCCTATAATTTGTTTTTGTCAAACGAGAAACATGTTTCCGTCGTGTGACATCTTACTCATTATACTCCAGATTAAAGTGCTACAACATACAAAATATAAGCATAAATGTGACCCTGGAGCACAAAACCAGTCATAAGGGTCAATTTTTTGAAATTGAGATTTATACATCATCTGAAAGCTGAATAAATAAGCTCTCCATTGATGTATGGTTTTGTTAGGATAGGACAATATTTGGCTGAGATACAACTATTTGAAAATCTGGAATCTGAGGGTGCAAAAAAATCTAAATATTGAGAAAATCATCTTTAAAGTTGTTCAAATGAAGTTCTTAGCTATGCATATTACTAATCAAAAATTAAGTTTTGATATATTTACGGTAGGAGATTTACAAAATATCTTCATGGAACATGATCTTTACTTAATATCCTAATGATTTTTGGCATAAAAGAAGAATGTATAATTTTGACCCATACAATGTATTGTTGGCTATTGCTACAAATATCCCCCAGCGACTTAACACTGCTTTTGTGCTCCAGGGTCAATTCACAAAAATAGTAAACAACAAATAGTTAAATAGCAAAACAATGCAAAAGTGAGATTATGAAAGTCTTTTCTAACATATGCATCAATGTTACATTTTTTAATGTAATGCATGCATTTAGAAAACAATGTTACCACGTTACAATAACGTTCGATAATGCTTTAACATTATCAATGAGTAAATACTATTTAAGTATTTATTCATCTTTGTTAACATTTAATAAAAATACAGTAGTTCACGTCAGTTCAGGTTCATTAAATAATACTAAGAGATTTGATTTTAATATTACAACTTGAAGATGAAGAAATGCTTCAGGTGCTTTTTTTTTTAGTTCATGTTAAGTAATGTAATGTTAACACATAGAATCTTACTGCAAAGTTTTACCAGTTATTAACTTACCACCTAAATGAATTAAAAATATATTTATAATCAAATTGAGTGTTTTTGCTCCAGCCGAGCTTTACTTGCAGTGAGGATGAACATGGTTTTAGCTGTGAATTACTTTGACCTTCTGCGAACCTCATTTCACTGAGATTGAAGAAAAAGCTATTGTTTTCAACTTTCTCATGAATGTACTGTAAAGCTTGACCGCAGCACATATGATGTGCATGTACAAACCCCTCATCTGTTTTCAAGAGAACACACTCAGATTCTTTCAAATGAAGGACTGTCATTAGATGTCCATAACGGCGTGTGCATCTGACCTTCAATAACAGCATCATGTGGCTGTGCTCTTCATTTTCTTCTTTATGTGTTCAATCAGCAAAAACGACAGCAATGCATGTAGTTATTTATTTAGCTCCGTTCAAAATATAAATTCAAAACCAAAAGAAACAAACTGAAAACTAATAAATGCATGTAAGTGCATTCTGATTACATTATCTTGAACATGTCAATCATAAACGGTGCATCGTATTTCCTCACATCAAACATCACGCTGGAGAATATTTCACACGTGCAAACACTCGCTCTGTTACTGAACAGAAAACTAAATATTCACCTGACCAAAAATTGTTTTTTTTTTCTTTCACAATCCAATTGTAAGGCAATGAAAATGAATGATAAAGACAAGCAATCCTTACATTTGTCAAATGTTCGGGTCAGACGGGAGGAAGCTGAAGCTTGACGATCAGACTGAGATGATCAGACGGGAACGCTTCGTTAGGAAGTCCTCGCAGAGACCAGAGATCAGCCGCAGACAGCAGAGACAAACGACCCAGCAGCTTCAACCCAGCAGCGCTCTCTGTCAACACAACCGATTTATTTGCAGAGTATCAAATGTGCTCCGTCAGGCTTTGATGGCTCATATAGTCTGATATAGTGAGAATATGGAGGAAAAAACTGCTTAATTGAGCAAAAATGTGCAATTCTGATATTTAAAATGATTATGAAATTCTGCTGCTTGTAATGTAAATCAGGGAGATCTTTATAACAGTGCAGCAGATACTGACATAAAGTGATCTAAATATCAGTCGTCTCTATATCTCCAGTAATCTGTCTCAGTAAGATGAGATTGAAATGATCCAAACATATAGTTTTGTTGATATTTTTAATTTTACTGTATTTTACATATATATATATATATATTTTTTTTTTTTCATTTTTATCAGTTTTTGCTGTTTGTTAATGTCTATGTAGCTTTTATTCATTTTTATTTCAGTTTTAGTTCTTTTAGTAATTTAAGTTAAACTAATGGAAAATAAGAAATGTTGCCTTGTTAACTAGCTGGAATAAAATAAGTGTCTTTTTATTTTAATAAATGTGACCCTGGAGCTTTTCATTTTTTTGAAAAGCTGAATAAATAAGCTTTCCATTGATGTATGGTTTGTGAGGATCGGACAATATTTGGCTGAGATACAACTATTTGAAAATCTGGAATCTGAGGGTGCAAAAAAATCTAAATATTGAGAAAATCATCTTTAAAGTTGTCCAAATGAAGTTCTTAGCAATGCATATTACTAATCAAAAATTAAGTTTTGATATATTTACGGTAGGATGAGGACAATGGAAGCAATCAAAATCAACAAGAGAGCAATGATACGCAAATGCTATGACAAGTCTCACATTTACGCATCTTTATTTTATTTAAAATATCATTTATCAGTATCATATTTGATCATCAGGTTTTTATGCCTCATATAGTCTGATATAGTGAGAATATGGAGGAAAAAACTGCTTAATTGAGCAAAAATGTGCAATTCTGATATTTAAAATGATTATGAAATTCTGCTGCTTGTAATGTAAATCAGGGAGATCTTTATAACAGTGCAGCAGATACTGACATAAAGTGATCTAAATATCAGTCGTCTCTATATCTCCAGTAATCTGTCTCAGTAAGATGAGATTGAAATGATCCAAACATATAATGCAGTGATTGAGAGCTGAAGAAATAAAGGCTCCTCAGAAGATGTGAGATGTTCTGGAGGCTTGTGAAGATCATTCCTCCGCTGAGGAACACATTTAACAGCAAAGTTTGATCACGTTGATCATTTAGAGACCTTAGCAATGTGCTTTTTCTGCTATATTGTTAACAGATAATGTGAGAATTATGATGTTTGATTCAGTGTTATTTTAGTATCATTAAAACTCTTATAGTTTTGTTGATATTTTTAATTTTAATGTATTTTACATATATATATATATATATATTTTTTTTTTTTTTCATTTGGTAGGACATTTACAAAATATCTTCATGGAACATGATCTTTACTTAATATCCTAATGATTTTTGGCATAAAAGAAAAATGTATAATTTTGACCCATACAATGTATTGTTGGCTATTGCTACAAATATACCCCAGCGACTTAACACTGCTTTTGTGCTGCAGGGTCACATATATTTTATTTCAAGTACCAAAATTGTTTATATGATTTAAGTTTTAGTTCACTATAACACTGGTCTGCTTTTACAGTCACGATGAGACGGACCAAATCAGCATTTTAAGGGGCGCTGCAGATATTTGCAGATGATCAGATGTGAGATAAGAGCTGATCAGCTCCGAGCATCACCTTCAGCTGCAGCGGAGCCGGTCCTGCGGCTGGAGAAGAAGATGTAGTCGAGCATCGCTCCTCCCTCGGAGTTCAGAGAGCTGACCACAGCCGTCTGCGTGTCGGGCTGGACAGGACTGTAAGCTGACCTCAGGCTCAGCGCGTGATGCAACGTGTGTCCAAACCTGCCGAACACCAGATTTCATGAGGAACCTCGTCAGGGATCTCCAGTCTCTTAACACATCTCACACAACGAGGAGTTCTGAGCTGTGAAGCAAACCAACCAGCTGCCAGATGAAAAAAACAACTACTTCATAAAGTATTTGTGATCCTGCAGCACAAAAGCAGTGTTAAGTCACTGGGGTATATTTGTAGCAATAGCCAACAATACATTGTATGGGTCAAAATTATAGATTTCTCTTTTATGCCAAAAATCATTTGGATATTAAGTAAAGATCATGTTCCATGAAGATATTTTGTACATTTCCTACCGTAAATATATCAAAACTTAATGTTTGATTAGTAATATGCATCGCTAAGAACTTAATTTGGACAACTTTAAAGATGATTTTCTCAATATTTAGATTTTTTTGCACCCTCAGATTCCAGATTTTCAAATAGTTGTATCTCAGCCAAATATTGTCCGATCCTAACAAACCATACATCAATGGAAAGCTTATTTATTCAGCTTTCATATGATGCATAAATCATAAATTATGACTGGTTTTGTGCTCCAGGGTCACATATGAAATAATAATAAAAGGCAAAGCTACAAGACTATGTACTTCCCCTGAGGCACTATGCACTTTAATTACTTATTATAGACTTTTGATTAGATGTGAAAAAAAAAATCTATATATTTTATAGTTTATTATAAATATGTACATAATCACTGAGCTTTAAGGGAAAAGCCAGTTCTCTGCTTGATGGATGAGGAGTATGGTTAGTTCAATGGACAAGACTCTTCTGTTCCTGAACACCAGCTAACTCACCTTGAACTAAACATGTCCATGTCTTCTGGGTCTGTAAAAAACAGAGTATATTTCAGGAAGCAGACATGATTGCTAACACCTCAGACGTATGCAGAAGTGTGTGAGAAGTTATGGGTCGCACCAGCTGTTTGCAATATTAAAGGGACAGTTCTCCCAAAAATGAAAATTCTGTCATTCCAAACCTTTATTTATCTTCGGAACACAAATAAAGATATTTTCTATGAAATCGAGCTTCATAAATTCTTGTAGCATCATAAAATTACTGACGTCACGTGGACTGTTTTATCGATGTCCTTACTACGTTTCTGGGTCTGGGAACATTACAGTTGTGTTGCTGTCTACAGATTTCACCAAAAATATCTTAATTTGTGTTCTGAAGATGAACGGAGGTCTTACGGGTTTGAAACTACATGAGGGCGAGTACTATTACTATAGTACTATTTTTGGGAGAACTATCCCTTTAAGATCTTACAAAAGTAAAATCCACACTAAAGGCTTAGTAACTACTAGTTGATTTTTATCTAACTCAGTATTCATTGCACCATTTTCTCTTAAAACTTGAGAAGCAGCTGGTAGGTTGTAAGCATTGTGTTGAAGTAATGCATAGTCATATATGACGTTTACCTTCAATGATCTAATATCAGCCTTCATAGGTTTTAACTCTTGGCTAAAAACTGTTACTGTTATTTAGGAGAACTCTTAGCGGTAAGATCAAAAGTTTTGTGAATACAGACCCTGATGACTAACCTGTCAGAGTCTAAGCATTTTATGCAAGCGGCCAACAACCCGTCAACAGACAAGAACTATTTCTTTGAAAACCATGGCATACACAGATTAAGTTTTAGCTAAGGTTAATGGTGCAACGTCAAACCTAGGCTTAGGCACAGCTGGTGCACCAGACATGAGGAGAGTAAGTCTATCACCTGGTGTTTTATCAGTGACTCCTGGTATGAGCTCCAGATCAGCGGGCCGCACACACGCCGCCGGACAGTATCGCAGCTGACACAGAAACTCAGCGCTGTACTGACGATTGTCTACTGCAAACACACAGCTATGAGCTAAACACATGCATGCTGGGAATCCAGAGCCATTAGTGAAATGTTGAGCTGACCTGAAGCTGTGGTCTGTGCATCAGACCAGTACTGACAGCCGTCAGTGATGCCGAGGCTGCTGGGCCACAACGGGGAGAAAAGCCTTGTGTGATGGACTTTATACGACAAATCCAGCTGACCTGAAACCTGCAAGAGCACACAATCCATTCATCACAACACAATCCAAATCAGTGTTGGGGAAGTTCATCTAAAAATCTTCAACAGTGTAATTAGATTACTGTACAAATGTCCAGAAACTGTACTGTACTCTCTCCAGAAAGTATTTAATTACTTACCACTAATTACTTTCTAAATCCTATATCAACCTTGACGAGTTAATGATACACGGATAAACATGAAACGGTTCTTTTAATTCTTTCAAGTAACTACATCAATTATTCTGGACACACTTTAGATTAGGGTCCAATTCTCACTATTAACTATGATTTTGCCTCAAAATACTCCTAATTACTGCTTATTAATACTTTGTAAAGTAGTTGTTAAGTTCAAGAATTGGGCAGGATTAAGGATTTAGAATAAGGTCTTGCAGAATTAGACATTAAAGGCAGAGTAAGTGATTTTTCAAAAACACTTTAGAAAACTGATTCGGGCCGAATCGCAAAACAAACTTGTAGCCAATCAGCAATAAGGGGCGTGTCTACTCGTGATGTGGAGGAGAGAGCTTTCAGTGCATGGGACGGACATTAGCCGAGCGACAGAGAGATAGAGATGGCGGATAAAAAACAAAAGAGGAAAACGTCTGCGGAACGATAAGGCAAGAAGTAGGACCCGTGTAAATATCGGATCAGCTTTCCAGCGCTGGAGAGAACTCAAGGAGCGGAGGCCTGCGATCGGACGCCGAGGTTGCTTTGTTTCTTCTCAATAGCTGAGTAACACCGTGTCTACAACAGCTAAAGTCTGCCTACACTGGACGCGATCAAACGACCGTTGAAAACCATTTGAAATGTGTGTCAGCACGTCATAAATAGAACCCGGCAGCAGTTTTCTGTCGGGGATTTGTTGCGCCGCGCCGCTCACGTCCGTAGACACGGTGTAACATTGGTTTTGCTTTGTTTCACAGAACTAATCGTTGCCTGGGTTGCGTACGTATGTGTGGGGCGGAGCTATCAAAATAGGGGCAAGACCCTTTTGGGGTAGGGGCGTGTTTGTTTTGGTGATTTCAAATATCAACATTGGCTACCAGAAATCCCTTACTCTGCCTTTAATATGTGCTTTAAGTAACAATAAACAGCCAATATCCCAGTAATATTCATACTAATAAACAACTAGTTAATACTGAAGTGTTACCAATATTCTTATTAACTCACCAAAGTATTTAACGTGAGAAGGGTGCATAAAAAGCATGCATTTTAAGGTTAGACTTTAAATGTTGATGTTAAATCCACTATTGCATCGTGTATAAATGTTCTACAGTCTATACACAGTATTGAGTTCAATTACATAAGAAGTAACTGTAATTAAATTACAGAAAAAATAAAGAGTAATCCCTTACTTTACTTTTTCAAGGGAAAAGTAATTAAATTACAGTAACTAATTACTTGGTAATTAGTTACACCCAACACTGATCCAAATACAACACTAAGACTGGGAAAACCACACACATATATGAAGTACACAACAGTTAATGTGTCTAAAGAGTTATTTTTGCTGGAAATTTAACAAAAAAAATATCTTGCATTTTTTGCACAAAACAACTGATTAGGGCTGTGTGTGATATTGAAGAAAAATGCGATATGCAATACCTTGTTAAATAATGCGATATTCGATACGATATTGCTTTAAGTGTGGGAAATCAATTTAAATTATATTTCCAAATATTTAAAAACTGAAAATTACATACATATATATATACACAAATATATAGGGCTGGGCGATATCGACAAAAAATGTATCCCGATAATTTTTTTCATATCAGTCAATATCGATAATTATCACGATAAATGTCAAATCTTTATTTATTTCAAGTTTAAAGCCAGATTTTTGCTCTAAAGTGAAAGTTGTAGAAACCAGACCATTAATTGTCCTTAACAAAATAAATATCTAAATAGAAAAATGTATTTCTTAGTTTCTGCATGTCCTAATGAGTGATATTGTTTCAAATCAAGAAACAGGTTTGGGTTGCCTGATAATATTAATAATAATATCACTGTTTTGTCTCTTAGAAATGCACAATTGATAGTAGCTTGAGTTAGGATGCAGAGGTATATTTTTTATATTTTCTGATCAAAATCAGTAACATCTGTAAAAATTGTAGCAACCTCAGTTTTATATGGTTAAATTTATTCTGACCAAGGTTTTTTTATTATTATTTTTTTATTAAGCATTGGTCTCCCATAGTAGCATACATTTAAATCATGATAAACAGTTAAAACCCTGGTAAAACTATAACTATATGTTTTTTTTAGGTAGCCTATTTGTATGAAAAACAGTAGTCTAAAAACATTCAGTATAAATGCACACATGCTATAGCTTAATCACAAATACATGGAGATTCTGTAGCACTGGTTATAAAGAATATCTCTTTGGATTTGAGACTTTAGTCTTTGCAACTTTACAGATCTTCTTTATGTACCAAGAGCTTGTAACACTCCAAAGAGAAAGGAACAATTGAAATCGCATCATATGACCCCTTTAAATCACTGAGTCAACTGTGTTCATGGCTGAATTCAAGCACTGGATCTCACAGCGCTGCTTAGTGCTCGCGTGACCGAGTAAACGCATCTGCTCTAGTGAGCTCGCGCCGTGCGGCAGTTTGAACTTTGATCCGAGCAGATAAACGGTCCGAGTGGCGCGATTCAAATGAGTCGCGCTGTTTCGTTCCGCTTTTGGCGCATAAACATTATATCGAACATTTATCGAACTCTTCATATCGTTTTATCGAGGAAAATTATATCGCGATAATTAACATTATCGAATGATCACCCAGCCCTATATATATATATATGGATTAAAAAAATTAATCGCGATTAATCGTATGATTTTCTGCGATTAATCGCATTATGTAAAACATTCAATAATGAATTCAAAAGTAATGTATTGTGCATTTTTTTATTTAAAGGGGTCATATGATGCGATTTCAATTGTTCCTTTCGTAAATTAGGTTTACTAATTAATTTCTTGAGGAAGTTCATGTAAGCCAAATCTGCGCAGATTTAGTGTATAGGGCATTAACGTTTTTATAGAAAGTATTTTATAGTTTGTTATAGAAAAACAAGTTATGCTCAGAGTCCAGAGCCTCGATCATTCGGACGCGGTGCGCATGTAGTGTGAGCGCTAACTGCACCGGAGCACGGAACTTCTGATACGTGCAGCATGATTGCGTGTACATTTCTGAGCTGCAAAAGTGATAGATCTGTAAAGCAATATATTGTGAGAGGGCCGTGTGTTACCGCGTATCAAACGACTCAAAATAATAAACCACAAAGTTAACAAAACGATGCACTCCACTGTGCTGAGCGAGAGCGCTTCTCTGCTATCTTCACGTGCTATCATTGGATTTTTATTTTAAATTCGACGAATACTCGAAATTTGATTTGTTTTGGCAGCCCTACTCACCATCCAAGCAGGTAACCCGTGGTAGTAAAGCTGTCCGGTGGTGATGAAATTCCACAGAGGGCTGTTGGGTAAAGCGTTAAAGTCCCCACATAAAACCACCTCACAGCGTCTTCCTTCACTCCTGCATTTTTTGATCATGATGTCAATTTCAGCAAACACGATGGCCAGCTGGGCGAGCTTCACATCTCCTCTCCTGGGGTTGAACAGCAGGTGTGTGTTGGCCACACATATGGGGCTGAACACTTCATTCTGCCCTGCCATCGGCTGGAGGAGCAGCACAATGCCCACGTTGTCACGATCTAGCAGCTCACAGTCCGATTGGCGAAACTCCAGCAGATTGATGGAAAGCTGGGTAAAGCGGTCGCTGTGATAACACACTGCACAGCCGTCCGTTTTGGTCCCAGTGCGGCGTTTGTAGATGCAGGTGTAACCTGGGTAAAAAAAAAAGTTCAATTGTTAATTGTAATTAACAGGAAACAACTTCTGAACACACCTGCAAATTCACAACTTATTACCAGTCCGACTGATTTCAACTAACAAACAAAGCTCTCAAATCTTATTTCCAGCCAAATCCAGTGGGTTCAACTGGATAAGCTAAGAAAAGCATTAAAATGCAATGACACCTACATCGTCATGGCATCTCGTGTGCCAAATCATATATAATAAGGCTGCCTGACGCACACCTAAAATTCGAATGCAACGTTTTTGCATTGGATTTTTATTTTAAATTCGACGAATACTCGAAATTTGATTTGTTTTGGCAGCCCTACTCACCATCCAAGCAGGTAACCCGTGGTAGTAAAGCTGTCCGGTGGTGATGAAATTCCACAGAGGGCTGTTGGGTAAAGCGTTAAAGTCCCCACATAAAACCACCTCACAGCGTCTTCCTTCACTCCTGCATTTTTTGATCATGATGTCAATTTCAGCAAACACGATGGCCAGCTGGGCGAGCTTCACATCTCCTCTCCTGGGGTTGAACAGCAGGTGTGTGTTGGCCACACATATGGGGCTGAACACTTCATTCTGCCCTGCCATCGGCTGGAGGAGCAGCACAATGCCCACGTTGTCACGATCTAGCAGCTCGCAGTCCGATTGGCGAAACTCCAGCAGATTGATGGAAAGCTGGGTAAAGCGGTCGCTGTGATAACACACTGCACAGCCGTCCGTTTTGGTCCCAGTGCGGCGTTTGTAGATGCAGGTGTAACCTGGGTAAAAAAAAAAGTTCAATTGTTAATTGTCATTAACAGGAAACAACTTCTGAACACACCTGCAAATTCACAACTTATTACCAGTCTGACTGATTTCAACCAACAAACAAAGCTCTCAAATCTTATTTCCAGCCATGCATGTTAAAATTTGCATTTGGATTCGATGGCTTAGTATGCAAATGACACAGTCCAAATGTAAATGACAACGTTCTGGCAAACAGGCTCTTCAAATACAAAATGAAGGTGACGTCTGAACTGCTGGACCCCTTTAATACTGCATTTGGAAGCACGGAGTGAAATTTATTAATTTCGTAATACAGGACACTAAATAAACTATACAAATACTATAAGCATATCCAACTTTATCTGCATACATACTCACATAAATTGATATATACTATATCAAATTTCAACTGCTTGATTACTTCTATCATCACAAAATGTGAGCTATATTATCATCATGACTTGACATGTCCTTATCTGCACACCGGGTCATTTATTTCATGATGCATTGTGCCATTATCTTCTCCACTGTACAGCTTACATTTGGGCCTGTTCTTCATATAAAACGACTGTATGACGTCAGAAGACGTGCACCAGTCAAATAGACTGTTATGACACTGTTATGATTCCTAAGGTATAAATTCCCATCTGCTTTCCCTGTATGGAAAAGAACAGCATGAACGTTCTGCTGAACATCTCTTTGTGTTTTGCTGTTCATGACACAAGGGTTTGCAGGTGCACTCATGTTTACATCAGCAGTGGGTTTCATCATGGAGCTAAACTCTGCAGGACACCGGCCCTCCAGACCGAGTGTGGGCACCCCCGGTTTAAGGTAAGACACCAGTCTAGTCTGTGCTGAAACGCTACTGTCAATCAAACTATCGTGGGAGGGGCCTGTTTGTGCCATGTCAGCACCAAACACCTCTGATGTATTTAGAATAGGCCAATGAAAGTTGGCGAGTGGAGGAATTGTTCGAAGCTCCCGTTTACTTCTGCTGGCCAAAGCATTGAGAGATCTGCACAAGGTTAGTCCTGACCCAGAGGTAATGCATTAACTGTGTTTGGCAACCATTTATGCTCTACGGACTACAAAGTTTTTAGGCACAAGCCCTGGGTCTGACCCAGGAAAAGGTGGAGAGGGAGACAGAGGGGGGGATGACATTTTCTTTAGGGCCAGACACCATCGGGCCTCTGGACCAAGGTAGGTGCTTTTGTACGCCGTTTGCCACAATTTCTAAGAGACGAGAGGCCTCCCAACATGGCAGGCCTTGCTCCACCTTGCCGCAAGCTACCCACCGTGGATTCGCCGGACATTGTCCCTTTGGTGCCATTAGTGCAGTATCTGGATGCATGGCTAGCGCTGCCCAACCCATCACACTGGCTAATCAGGATGATCCGGCTGGGCTATGCATTCAAATTTGCCAGGTGCCCACCCAGATACTACGGTGTCCCGTTCACCTCAGTAAAAGGTGAGGATGGTGGAGACAATTCCTCTGCACAATCTGACCTATGTTGCATCCTGGAATTAAACCATGCCATGCTGGTTTTGTCTGGCCAGAGGAGAACTGGCCCCCTGACTGAGCCTGGTTTCTCTCAAGGTTTTTTCTCCATTTCTGTCACCGATGGAGTTTTGGATCCTTGCCACTGTCGCCTTTGGCTTGCTTAGTTGGGACGTTTGACTGACTGCACAGACACTATTGGAAAAGAGCTGAACTGGATGATGACGACGACATCACTGAATCATCAATGGACTGACTTTAGCCAAAGACTATAGAATACCCAAGACATGTCACTCGTATAATTTTGAATGGGGAAAAATGCAACGCTCAATATGGCCACTCTATCAAACGAAGTTCCGCCTTCTGAGTAAAAGAGCCAATCGCTAAAGTCATCGCATCACTGCAGCTGCTATTTAGAAGTCCCCGTTGCTATAGAAACACTCAGCATTCTGAGACGTGCGCCTAGGACTGCACATGCGCACTGGCTGGTCTAGCCTGAGAAATAAGCTTTTTTAAACGCTATTTAAGCAAAATAAACAACATTTATGATACAGTTGTTGTCAGATTTCATTGGTGATTTCAAATACACAAACTATCCTTAAATAGCTGTTGCCAGCAATCTGCCTCGGAACGTAAACATTTTAGAAACATCTGACCATAATGAGCTTTTATAATCGTCAGATTAATAATTTTATATCGCCTTTGGTTTTGGAGGTTATCTCAACTCCAAATTTTCCTTTGATTATATGCTTGTTTTCATTAACAATTTGGTTAAGAAGTAACATCTGTGCTTGTTTGCATGTCTTACTATCATGTATTAATGTAGCAATTAACACTTTTATTTTTTAACCTTTATTTGAATATGTGCGCTCTGCAATATTTCTATGAACAAATCTCTGACAGAGACTATCAGCCAATCACTGTGTGCATAGTTAGAAAGTATGCTGACATCATCCATAGCAACAAGGTCAACCCCGCCCTTACTCTTAGCTTAAGAAAGTAATCGCGTTACTGCAGCTGCCGTTAGAAGTCCATGTTGCTATAAAAACAGTTAGCGTTCGGAGATGTGCACTTAGGACTGCGCATGCGCACTGGCTGGTCTAGCCTGAGAAATAAGCTTTTTTAAACGCTATTTAAGCAAAATAAACAACATTTATGATACAGTTGTTGTCAGATTTCATTGGTGATTTCAAATATGAAATTTTATCATAAGCTTGGCGAACAGTTTTGGAGAATTTGATGTTTCCCCATTCAAAGAGATAGGAGCTGCAATTGCATGCCCGAGAGGCATTTCAAAGATGGCCGCCGAGTGACATGACTTGCCTTAAAGGGACTTTGCTTTAGCTGGAAAAATTACACTGTTATTGTCCTCTTGCATTATTAACAAACTATTTTCCTGTTTGACACTGTAAAGCTGCTTTGACACAATCAGTATTGTATAAAGCGCTGTATAAAGGTGACTTGACATGCTGACGTGTCTCTGACACAAGATAGACCTGAAGCGATAGACCTGAAGGATGTGTATTTTCATGTCTCGATCCTTCCTCAGCACAGGCAGTTTTCACAGTTTGCCTTCGAGGGACGGGCATATCAGTACAAGGTCCTCTCCTTCAGGTTGTCCCTGTCCCCTTGTATATTTACAAAAGTCTCAGCATCTCTTTTCTCAATGTGGAGTTGGTAGCCATGACAGCATGTCTTTCAGAAGATCCTGATCTGTCGCCACACTTTTAGCCCTGGGACAAACCTTGTGTTTCTATGTGCAGGAGTGGCCTTAGAAGAAGAGTCCAGGGCCCGTATTCACAAAACATCTTCAAGCTAAAAGTAGCTCATAACTCGCCAATTTAGGAGAAAATCTTAAAAATAATGGGCGTGTCAGTTCTAAATGTATGACTCCTAAATTTTTGCTCTAAGAGTATTTCACAAAGCGTTTTTGCACTAAAACTAGCTCCTAAATCTGTGAAGCGTTAGGAGCAGTGAAGAGGACTCCTAAGTCACTAACACTAATTTGTTTACGAGAAGCATACAGGCTGACAATTAGCTGAACATATACATATACGTATATTATATTGTTTAATTAGTGACACTTAGCCTGCATTTTAAAATCTTTATTTGAATATGGCAATTAACATTTTTAAACCTTTATTTGAATATGGCAACATAACATTGCGCTCTGCAATATTTCTATGAATAAATCTCTGACAGAGACCCCTCCCCTCTCCTATCAGCCAATCACTGTGTGCATAGTAAGTATGCTGACATCATCCATAGCAACAAGGTCAACCCCGCCCTTATCTTAGTGGTAAGATAAAATGTTTTGTGAATACGGGCCCAGATGTGTTATTGTTAGGGATGTAATGATACACCGCAAACCGGTTGAAAATCGATACAAATGTGACGATTCAAATCGGTTTAGATGTTAAATGAATCGCGATACAATTGGGGGGTAGGAGTTTATATGAATGTATCTCTGAGGGGAAGTGACTGTATTTAGAAAAGTTTAGATGGTATTTTCTTTCCATCTTTCATGTCAAATTACAATTTATCAATAAATTCAATACACTATAGGGCTGCTACCAGTCAGATTAAATAATTTACACTGCAAATAACAATAATTACAACTGCAATAAATAATGTTATGAGATTAATGTTTTAAATACATTTATGAATATACAAATAAGAAATGTTGGGGGGAAATTGCATACTTTTCAACATATTAAGCTACCAGTAGGTGGCGGTAAGTCACTTAATGAGTGAGTCATTGAGTCATTCATTCAACCGATTTGTTCAAAACGCTGAATCATTCAGTAACAAAACACCGCAGAGTGTTGCTTGGAGAATGTGCAATACTTCTGCTGTGATTAGAGGTGTACGATATTGACAAAAAATAATATCTCAATATTTTCTGGGATTTTATTAATAACGATAATTAGACGATATTTTGCTGAGTGTGTTATTGTGCTGGTATCTTAAGGACTTTCGTGGACAGCTGACTTCTGAAGTTTTTGATATTCTTCATATTCTGTGTGGTGGTCAGATAGAAATTAATCTTTTCCAATAGGTTTAAATTGATTTTTACCTTTTCTGGGCATTTTTACCTTTATAAAGCCATTTTGTCAAATTCTTCATTGAATTAGAATAATAAGACATTTGGGCTGTTACCAAGCAAATTAAATCAGTATCAACAGTATCAACAATGCAGAGGAGAAACAG